TGCTATTATATGTGTACACACACAGACACAGGCACACGCACACACACATACACACATATATAGAGAGAAATATAGACAGTTATACATCTATATACATTGAGCTTTTGCTATTTCACTGTTTTCGTTCCTCTCCTTCCCTTCTTTCTCTCTGTGTATCTTCCTTCTTGACACAGTAAATCATCAAATGTGATTATTAAGCGAACCGACCTTGACAAACGGGAGAAGTTCGGACTGGCAATGAATCTGGTTCCGAGGCGCTGGCACGGATTCCGGTCGACTCCCTCACTCTCCTCCCGCCATTGTCGTACTGCACGAGCGAAGTAGAATCTCCTGCATGATTAGAATCCAATCATTTATCACTTCCTCAGGTGTGTTTCCTCTAAGCAGTTCCAAGGAGGGCTTTGCATCCTATTGGTGGATCTCGTTTCACACTTGACTGGAATGAGATTGGATCGCATACCTAATTGGTTCTCTACTTTATTGATATTGCCTTTTTTCTACGATTCGAAGATAAAGATAAACTTGCTGGTTGTTTACGAAATCTAAATTAGCAATACGTTTATGTCTTATGAGACTTTTATATAACTGTTGCTTCCAAGTTCTTTCTTCGGGGTTCTGTCTCTGGACTGCAGAGAAGGAAAATTCTCTCTCTCTCTCTCTTTCTCTTTCTCTCTCTCTCTTTCTCTTTCTCTCTCTCTCTCTCTCACACACACACAGACACACACACACGCGCGCACAAACATCTATATATCTATCTCTTTCTCTCTCTCTCTCTCAATTATTGATCATCTTACAACAATGATGAATCAAAATACTAACTGCCACCACTCTTTCAAATATCATATCAATATCAAGGACAAAAGAGAAACCATTTAAGTTTAAATAGTTAATGTATTTATAAAAGTTATAATTTAAATTAACAGTTAATCATTATTCACTGTACTAAAATCTCTTGGAGAACAAAGTATTCAATCCAGTAGTCACTAATTATCCAAACTGGCTTGAGACACTTTCCGTAAAACACAACACTGTAAATGCCATGTTCACTACGGTCCACGTCTCACTCGGTCCGTCTCTCGAGATGGTCTGTTCACACGCCACGAGGCTGAACACTCGCTTTCGCCACAACGCATGTAAGCTTTGTTTTTTTCCATCATCTCTTTGCATTTTTTTCTTGAGTTCTATTTCTGTCACGGCATATATAAGTATATATATATATATATACATATATACATACAACATACATTACATAATATAATATATATATATATATATATATATATATATATATAATATTATATGTATATGTTTATATATATATACATATATACATATGTATATATGCATATATGTATATATGTATATATGTATATATGTATATATATATATATATATATATATATATATATATTATATATAATATATAATATATCTACAATATATACATATGTATTATATATATATAATATATATATATTATATATATATATATATATATATATATAATATATATATATATATATGTATATACATGTATATATATATATATATATATATATATATATATATTATATATATATATATATATATATATATATATATATTATATATATATATATATATATATATATATATATATATATATATATATATATATATATATATATATATATATATATATATATATATATATATATATATATATATATATATATATATATATATATAATATAATACATATGTGTGTGTGTGTGTGTGTGTGTGTGTGTGTGTGTGTGTGTGTGTGTGTGTGTATGTATATATATATAATATATATGCAAATATATATACATACATACATACATATATATATATATATATATATATATATATATATATATATATATATATATATATATATATATATATATATATATATATATATATATATATATATATATATATATATATGTATTATAATATATATATATGATATAATATATATATATATATATATATATATATATATATATATATATATATTATATATATATATATATATATATATATATATATATATAAACATACTACAGGGGCTATTGCCGACGGGGGTGCATAGCCGCATCCACCCTTTGTTTCCACCTAAGAGGGTCCCTTATGGCAAATCGCAGGCAGGAACTCGTCCCATCTCAAGCTCTTCACGACAGGTTCGATCGATCTGCCCAAGCCATGACTTCCTAGGTCGCCCACAAACTTTTTCTACCCAGGGTTGTCTCGAACAGAGACAACCTGATGGGCAGGATCATCCTGAAGAAAGCGAGCCAAATGGCCGTATAGCCTGAGTTGGCGATTATGGATTGATCGACTTATTACAAAAGGCATCAAGACGAGACTCCAAGGCACAAGATAATGTTCAGGTTTCACTACTGTATAGCAAAACTGGCATTATCAAGGCCTTGAAGACGCATAGCTTGGTCCTTCTGCACAGGAACCAGCATCTCCAAATACTCTCGTTGAGAGAGTTCATGACCCCTGCTGCCAGGCCAATCCGTCTGTTGACTTCTTGGTCTGATAGTCCAGAGTTATGAACTGCACTACCAAGTTATGTAAAGCTCTCAGTGACTTCAATGTCCTTGTCGCAAGCACATACCGACCGAAGAGGCTCTCCTAGCAAGTCCCCAAAGTCCTGCTTCTTGGTCTTGGTCCAGGAGA